CCATTAAAACATATTTGGAATTAAAAACCACAGTACTTCTGAACTTTTAACAAATTGGGCAGGTATCAAGGTTTGGTGACAGGTTGTATGGTCTGAGCCTACTCTTTTTCATCAGTCTAAATGACAAAAGTCAGGACCTGGAAACACGGAGGACACAACTAGAGCAGAGAAAAGCTCAAAAAGCTGCTTTTGAAAAATAAAATTGCTATAATTGCATACTAAATAAAGCCACTGATAACACTATGTAACATGATGTTTGTTCCTGGATTATAAATGTCATTTCCTAATTGGTTCTATCATATAAACATGGGAAAAGTTTATTAAACTGTCAAAACTTTGTTTGTGCAGGACATCCTGGTCACTTCTTTCTCGAATTGAGAGGAACCATTGGTGAGCACCCGTTGGATTTGGTCGCTTATTCAATTACAGATCCACCTAATAGTAGCATTGACTCACCCACATTTGACTAGTTTGCTTGCAAGAAAATCATGGGAGACTTTGTCGAAGGTCTTACTGAATTTACCTATATTTACTCAAGTATAATGCACCATCAGATGTAATTCTGAAGGTGCAAATTACACAAAATGGATTTGTCCTTTAACATAATGCGCCCATGTATAGCACGTCAGGGAGGCAGACAGTATGAATGAGGCAATTTGGGAAGTGGTGTCCTTATGTTAGGCCGAGGCTGATGAACTCGCTATCCTCACATATTTCCCATTCATGAGGGACTGAACTGGGGAGGGAAGGGCAAGAGGTCCTAAGGACTGTCCAGCAGGAGGCAGGATCTGCAGCAAAGCAGCAGGAATGGCTGAATCCACCTCATAGAATCATAGAGTTGGAAAAGACCTCTTGGGCCATCCAGTCCAACCCCCTGCCAAGAAGCAGGAAAATTGCATTCAAATCACCCCTGACAGATGGCCATCCAGCCTCTGTTTAAAAGCTTCCAAAGAAGGAGCCTCCACCACACTCCGGGGCAGAGAGTTCCACTGCTGAACGGCTCTCACAGTCAGGAAGTTCTTCCTCATGTGCAGATGGAATCTCCTTTCTTGTAGTTTGAAGCCATTGTTCACGTCCTAGTCTCCAGGGAAGCAGAAAACAAGCTTGCTCCCTCATCCCTGTGACTTCTTCTCACATATTTATACATGGCTATCATGTCTCCTCTCAGCCTTCTCTTCTTCAGGCTAAACATGCCCAGCTCCTTAAGCCACTCCTCATAGGGCTTGTTCTCCAGACCCTTGATCATTTTAGTCGCCCTCCTCTGGACACATTCCAGCTTGTCAATATCTCTCTTCAATTGTGGTGCCCAGAATTGGACACAGTATTCCAGATTTGGTCTAACCAAGGCAGAATAGGAGGGTAGCATGACTTCCCTGGATCTAGACACTATGCTCCTATTGATGCAGGCCAAAATCCCATTGGCTTTTTTTGCCGCTGCATCACATTGTTGGCTCCTCCTCCTTCAGGTGCCACTGAGCTCTGAGGCTGCCATTGCTGCCACTAGATTGGACTCTTTGCAATCCAAGTTCCTCTGGACCTTTTCACTCAGGTGGATTTATGTGCATAATTCTAATGCACCACTGAATCTAATGTGCACCCCAATGTTGGCAATGTAATTTAGCCCAAAAAGGTGAGCATTAGACTTGAGTAAATATGTTATTAAATAAATACCACTGTGTTGTCGAAAGCTTTTATGGTCAGAATCACTGGACTGCTGTGAGTTTATCTATAATTCCCTTTTTTTGATTGATGTTCTTTATTTACTGTCCTGATTTTAGAGTTTTTAATAGTGGTAGCCAGATTTTGTTCATTTTCATGGTTTTCTCCTTTCTCTTGAAATTGTCCACTCAGAAGACAGGGGAATTCCAGACAGGAAACAATCAGAGCCAGCTAACACCTCCCAACAAAGGATGCCTCCAGCAGGAAGCAACCAGGCTTTGAAGCTGCAAGGCCAGTCAATGCTAATCAAGGTGTTAAATTGCAACATTCACACCTGCCTCAAGCAGACAAGAGTTCTTTCTTCCACCCTGGACATTATTCCACAGATATATAAACCCCACCTGCCTAGTTTCCAATAGACCTCGCAACTTGTCATAGATGTGGGTGAAATCTAGATTTGGCCCCCCGACTTTGGAACTCCATACCTGGGGAGATCAGGAAAGCCCCTTCACTAGAAATGTTTAAAAAGAACCTCAAACCTGGCTTTTCCGCTGTGCCTTTGGTGAGTAGGTGCACAGCATGATATTTTGCACCCCTCAACGTTTTCTGCTAATGAAGTTGGTGCTCTCCAAATAGGATGTTCAGCTTCACAACTCTGTGTGTTTTATGAGTTCCCGATAAACGTCCTGCTCCTATTTTATCTCATTATAGTTTAACTGTTTTTATCCTGAATATGTGGCCCGCCCATTGTCATCACTACCGTGATTGTGTTTATTGGAATGTTTATTTTATGATCCCCCCCTTTCCCCCCTTTTAATGTCATTTTAATAATGTTGTTGTTGTCTGTTGTTTATGTTTTGATTTTATTGCTGTAATATGTTGGCCCCATGTAAGCCGCTCCGAGTCCCCATCGGAGATGGGTTTTGTTTTTTTGTTTTTTTGTCTCAAGTCAGGAGTGACTTGAGAAACTGCAAGTGGCTTCTGGTGTGAAAGAATTGGCGGTCTGCAAGGACGTTGCCCAGGGGATGCCCGGATGATTTTGATGTTTTTATCATCCTTGTGGGAGGCTTCTCTCATGTCCCCGCATGAGGAGCTGGAGCTGATAGAGGGAGCTCATCCGCCTCTCCCCGGATTCGAACCTGCGACCTGTCAGTCTTCAGTCCTGCCGGCACAGGGGTTTAGCCCACTGCGCCACCGGGGGCAGTACTGGTATGTGGCAGGTACTGGCTTGTTCAGTAGACTCTCCTCTACAGTTTCATTTTGGTGGGAAGCTTTAGCACTGAACAGTTGGGTTGTTCAAATGTGAAGTATGGAACCCTGTGCAGACGGTTGGTCAATGAGACTTAAGCAACATGTAGTCATTGAATTCTTGACAAGGTCAAGGTCAATGCCCATCAATGTCCATGTTGGTCATGGGAATCCTGTCTGCCACATTTGGTTCAATTCTATCATCGGTGGAGTTCAGAATGCTCTTTGATTGCAGGTGAATTATAATCCCAGTAACTACAACTCGCATATGTCATGGTCTATTTTCCCCCAAGAGCGCCCCTGGGCAAAATCAACTATACTGCAAATGCTTACTTTGCGTAATGGGTTGAGCTGCCCCTGTGTGTACATAAGTAATAAGCCTGTCATATGACATCATATTTGAAGTTTCAACAACAAAAACATAATACAACAACAACAAAAACATAACTGTGTGCCATAGATGTGTCTCAAACATCAGGAGGGAATGCTTCTGGAATATGGCCAGACAGCCCAAAAACTCACAGCAACCCACATGAAGATCCACCCAAAGGAAAAGTGTTCCTGCCATACATCAAGGGAACCACTGACCGCATAGGGAAGCTGATGAGGAAACACAACATACAAACTATCTACAGACCCACCAAGAAAATCCAACAAATGCTCCGTTCAGCAAAGGACAAGAGGGATCCTCTCACTTCTGCAGGAGTCTACCGTATACCATGCAGCTGTGGACAAGTCTACATAGGGACCACCAAACGCAGCATTGCCCAAACACGAATCAAGGAACATGAAAGGCACTGCAGACTACTTCAACCAAGTCAGCCATAGCAGAGCACCTGATGAACCAACCTGGACACAGCATATTATTTGAGAACACAGAAATGCTGGACCACTCTCACAACCACCATGTCAGACTACACAGGGAAGCCACTGAAATCCACAAGCATGTGGACAATTTCAACAGAAAGGAAGAAACCATGAAAATGAACAAAACTTGACTACCAGTATTAAATTTCTAGATTATCTGGGAGTTGTAAGCCAAAACACCTGCAGACCCACAGGCTGAGAACCACTGTGGGTCCGCCTTCCACCTGGAAACCAATGCCCTCACCGCAGGAGAAGATGCAGTTAAAGTCAACAGACAACTTGAAGCCACACACACTCACAATCTATCCATGTGAGTATTTGCAATGCAGATTTCAAAATAGTCCCATCTTTTTCTAGGATGAATATGAACAAAATCTGGCTACCAGTATTAGAAAACTCAAAAATTACAAGAGCAAAACAACAGAGAGTAAACAATCAGGCACATCAAATCACTCTCAACAAAAGATTCCCCCAGGCACTTCCAAGCCATTAAATGCTAATCAAGGTGGTCAGTTGAAACATTCACACCTATCTCCAGCAGACAAGAGTCCTTTGTCCCACCCTGGTAATTCCACAGATATATAAACCCTTTTTCCTAGTTCCAACAGACCTCACTACCTCTGAGGATGCTTGCCATAGATGCAGGCGAAACGTCAGGAGAAAATGCCTCTAGACCATGGCCATACAGCCCGAAAAAACCTACAACAACCCACCGATCTTATCTCATTTGGGAGCACATTCCATAGGCAGGGGGCCACAGCTGAGAAGGCCCTGTTTCTCATCCCCACCAAACACATTTGTGATGTTGGCAGAAGTGAGAGCAGGGCCTCCCCGGATGATCTTAGATTATGAGGTGGGACGTAGAGGCTGGGCCAGAACCGTAAACCTGTCATATGACATCATATTTGAAGTTTCAACAACAATAACATAATACTTTGTGTGCCATAGATGTGGCTCAAACGTCAGGAGGGAATGCTTCTGGAACATGGCCAGACAGCCCGGAAAACTCACAGCAACCCAGATGCCATTGTTCCAAATTCTGGGGGCTGTACGCAAGGGGTGTTTAGGATCTTCTCAGCTGGCTGGCTCCTGGAGAATTCTGGGATTTGTAGTTCAGTGAGATCCAGGAGCTCTGCCTGAGCATTCCAATGGACACGTCCCAGGATTCTGCAGGAGACAGAAACTGGACTCCAGGTGGGAGGCTTCCGGTTCCCTTGGTGGCTCACCTGGCCAAGTCGAGGAAGGAGTCGACGGTCTCCTTGCCGGCGGCCAGGTCCTGGTCCAGGCCGAGCTGCTGGCTGCTGAGGGCGGTGGCGCCCAGCCCCGGGTTGATGATGAAGGCCAGGGCGATGGCGAGGGCGGCGGCGAAGAGCGTGGTGAGAAGGAAGTAGGCCAGCGCGATGCCGCCCAGCTTGCCCAGCGAGCGCGTGTCCAGGCTGGCGGCGCCGGAGACCAGGCTGCAGACCACCAGCGGGAGGATGACCATCTTGAGCATGCGCAGCAGCATCTCCCCGGGGAAGGCCAGGTAGGCCACCTGCGCCGCCGAGAGGGGCGCGCCCCGCCGCCGCACCAGCGCCCCCAGACCCACGCCCACCACCACCCCGGACACCGTCAGCAGCACCAGGCAGTGCCGCCGCACGAAGCGCCCCAAGCCCCGCAGGCGCCTCCGCAAACTAGGCGGCCCCACTCCCGCCGCCTCTGCCTCCTCCTCCGCGCCGGACAGGTAGCCATTGCGGCTCTCGCCGGGCTTCTCCATCCTGAGGAGAAGAGGAGCAGCAGGAGAAAGCAGCAGCACGCGCCGGACCACCCGGCTGATGCAAGGCGAGGGCTCTCTGGGCTCAGCCTCCTCTTCCCGCCGGCCAATCAGAGCCCGCCTTCGCCCCCTCCCCGTCGGGGATTTAAAGCGCCGGCTTCGAAGTGAGCGGAGTCAAGCGGGATGAGAAAAGGAGCGGGCCGCTATTCCCTTGCCCTGAGGCTTCTCGCTTTCTATTGGTAACGCTTTGGAAAGAGCGAGAAAGCGCGAGCTCCCATTCCCATTGGTCGGTTATTTTGGGCGGGCTCCTCCCTCATTGCCCATAAATGGGCGACCGGGCGGCAGATGATAAGGGGGGAAAGAAGGGGCTGGGCTGTGCGTCACCTGCTGTCAAGAGTGCTGCGCGCGCGCGAGAGAGAGGTGGAACAGCCTGCCTCGCGCTCAAATGAGGAAGACCCCTTCCACTCAGGAAAGCAGGCCTGTAGCGAGGAGGGGGTTTTAGGGGTTCAACCCCCCCCCGAAATGTTTCAGATTTTTTTTAAAAAAACCTGGTTTACTCATGAATGTTAACTGGTTAACCAAATCCCCATGCTAAGTCTATGAGATGCAAAAAATCAAGAGTCCCTCCAGAACTGAAGGCACTATCTCAAGCAAATATTGGCAATTTATTCATACTGTCATTACTTGCAGCAATAGCCGATGTAGTTGTTCTGGTACAGCTGTACCAGGAGCTCCAACTTTATTTGCTTTGTATTAAATGTTTGCTTGCAGTCCTAGGTTTCAGGGACTCTGCAGATAGGTGGCTTCTTTGGTTGCAGTCATAGGGCAAGTCACCTGTCCATCATCATTAAGTTTGATCCTGCCCCTTGCTCAGGGCAATTGGGAAGGGAGCCATTTTTAGTTAGTCTCAGCAAGGTAAACTTATTTATTTATTTATTTATTTTATTTTATTTGCTTGTATACCGCAATTTCTCAGCCTTGTAGGCGACTCAACGCGGTTTACAACAAGAGCAAAAGTCAATCCAACAGCATACAAAATTTAAAAACCATTAACAGCAAATATACAAAATGACACATCAATAACAACACATTAACGTCTCGTAACTAGAATCGTGATCCAATTCGTCTTCCATAATTCCGTTTCCTATATTCATCGTGTACATTGCATTGTTTAACCGAACGCCTGTTCGAACAGCCAGGTTTTTAGTTTTCTTCGAAACACCATTAACGAAGGGGCTGATCTAATGTCCATGGGAAGGGCGTTCCACAGCTGAGGAGCCACCACAGAAAAGGCCCTGTCCCTCGTCCCCTCCAGCCGTGCCTGTGATGCAGGCGGGATCGAGAGCAGGGCCTCCCCAGAAGATCTTAGAGTCCTGGTGGGTTCATAAGAAGAGATACGTTTGGATAGGTAGCTTGGGCCAGAACCGTTTAGGGCTTTAAAGGCCAACGCCATCACTTTGAATTGAGCCCGGTAGCAAATCGGCAGCCAGTGGAGCTGGTGCAGCAAAGGAGTTGTATGCTCCCTGCACTCCGCTCCTGTTAGTATCATGGCTGCCGCACGTTAGATATAGATATAGATAGATAGATATGATTCACACACACACAGATATAGTATCATAGATTTGAAAGGGACCCTTAAAGAAGGACTATGATATGTTGCGTGTTCCAGGGTGGGCAAACCAGACAATCTCCACATCAACACTGACAAAGAAACAGCAAGAAATATTGTTTACTCACAAGCATAAAGAAATTACAGATATTAGAAACCAACACTTTTTTATTACTTTATGTTCCAGGTTACCAGACTGGGCCACAGCAACACATGGCAGGGGGCAGCTAGTTATTCTTAAAGGTGAAATAATTAGATCCCATGAATTTTCCAATATTTCTATAGTTCTATGTTCTGGAAAAATGCACATTAGTGGAGATGAATTGCTTTTATTCACTTTCTTCTAGTTGCAGAATTTCCAGTCACTTTCCAAAACTCGGTGCAAAATTTGAATTACCATTGCTTAGTTACTATTTTGGATTATAACTGCTAAAATCTCACAGTCAGCAGGGCCACAAGCATAAAGAAATTACAAATATTAGAAACCAACACTTTCTCATTATTTTATTTTCCAGATCAACAGACTGGGCCACAGCAACGCGTGGCAGGGGACAGCTAGTATGTATATACATACAATATATTATTAGCATAGTACAATATCAGTATTACACACCACCACACCATACTACACCACCACACTGTAACATTACCAGTTACGCCTGGAAGATTGTACCTTGCTTCTCAGGCCCCTTCCACACCGCTGTATAAAATCCACATTGAACTGGATGATACGGCAGTGTGAACTCAGATAACCCAGTTCAAAGCAGATATAGTGGGATTTTCTCCCTTGATATTCTGGGGCCCCTTCTACACAGCTGAATAAAATCCCACATTATCTGCTTTGAACTGGAATATATGGCAATGTGGACTCAGATTTTGTGTGTGTGTGTGTGTGAGTCAGCAGCGACTTGAGAAACTGCAACTCGCTTCTGGTGTGAGAGAATTGGCCATCTGCAAGGACCTTGCCCAGGGGATGCCTGGATGTTTGATGTTTTACTATCCTTGTGGGAGGTTTCCCTCATGTCCCCGCATGAAGAGGTCTACCCGCTCTCCCTGGATTTGAACCACTGACCTATCGGTCAGCAAGCCTGATGGCACAAGGGTTTAATCCAGGGGTCCTCAAACTAAGGCCAGAGGGCCCTCCAAAGTAATTTACCTGGCTCTCGCTCAAGGTCAGCCTAAGTCTGAAACGAGCCTAAGTCTTGAAAGCGTACAATAACAACAACAACAACAACAACAACCCTATCTCATCAGCAAAAGCAACCCCACACTTCCACTGAAATACTAATAAGTTTATATTTGTTAAAATTGTTCTTCATTGTAATTATTGTATTGTTTTCAAGGGGGGTTTTTTTGCACCACAAATACTTTCATGCACCAAAAAACATACAAGCCATGTCTGCTAGCGTACACAATGCAAAACTCCCCCAAGCCCTCATTCTGTGTGGTACAGTGCAATGTGTGTGTGTGTTGTGCCCAGAGGTTATCTTGAGGCCTCGTCTGAGGAGGATGGGGAAGACCCTTTGGTGGGGAACAAAGGAAGAGTCTCCTCTTTTAAAACATTTTGACTTCAAAGACATTGCCTTCATGACTTGTAGCATAACTTTCTGGAAAATCCATGCAAATGTTAATTGGGGGGTGGGGGGATCATGAAACTGACAAGGGAAGAGAGCAAAGACAGAACATACAGACAAACCATTTAGAGCACATATGTAATAGTTAATTCCCCAATACAATCGAAGGAGCGGAGCACCACACTAGATTAATCTGCATTGTGGGTTTTATAATTGACCAGAGTCAGATTGAAGTAAACATGCACACACACAATCAAGCCTCTCCCCCTTTCCTTCCATCACTTCTGTCTCCTAGGTCTACCCTTCTCCAATGCGGTGCCTCTCTGTTTCTCTCTGTTCCAAAACACATCCTGTTTTCTCAAAACAATTTCACTGCGCTTTCCCTCTTCCTGTGCTTCTCCTCCTATCTTTTCCAGGTCATTCTGATCTCTGTTCGCATCTCACACACATTTCTCCTTTGCCTAGCAACGCGGTCTCTTCCCCAGTTCCTTTGCTCTTTTCAGAACCCATTCTCAAAACTTTCTTCTTGAAAAATTCACACTTTTAAAATCACTGTTTCTTCTTGAGATTATCTAGTCCAGGGGTCCCCAAACTACTACTTCCTCCCTCCCCAGTTCACAGGATGATTGTGATGATTTATACCCTGTTTTTTTCTCTCCATAAAGACCATAGAGTTGGAAGAGTTCCATGGCTGAACAGATCTTCTTATAGTTAGGTAGTCTTCCTAATGTTCGGTGGAATTTCCTTTCCTGTCATTTGAACCCCTGGTTCCATTGAGTCCCAGGCTCAAAGGCAGCAGAAAACAAGCCTGCTCCCTCCTCCTTATTACATCCTTTTACATATTTAAACATGGCTCTCATGTCTCCTCTCAACCTTCTCTACTGCAGACCTCCAAGGTCGTTTACCTGCCCACATCCTAATATTTATAGAATCATAGAGTTGGAAGAGACCTCATAGGCCATCCAGTTCAACCTTCTGCCAAGAAGCAGGGAAATCACATTCAAAGCACCCCCGAAAGATGGCCATCCAGCCTCTGTTCAGATTTAGGGTCAATGGATAAATTTGCACTATTCAGCCTAGTTGATTGGTAGCCAAAAGAATTTTGCACAATCTCTGCGATTCTCTGGAGAGGCCCTCCTCTCCTCCCTTCCTCTATCACAGGCTCGACTTGTGGATATGAGGGAGAGGGCCTTCTTCGGGGTTCCCTCCCCCCCCCTCGATTTTGGAACTTGTTACCTGGTAAGATCAGGCAAGCCCCTACCCTTGTAGCCTTCAAGCAAGAGTTTAAAACTTGGCTCTTCCGATATGCCTTTGGAGATTGACCATTCAACCCATTAGTTTTTTCCTACTCACAATTGCCCCTCATGATAAAGATTTAGCCCATTTTAAAGGCTAAATCTCACAGTTCCTCCTTCTTGGGCTCCTTTCTTACAAATGCATTTTTATTCCTATCTCACCCAGGGTTTTAACTTTTTAACATTTTACCTCATATATCTGGCCCACCCTTTGTGTTTGATTCTATTATGCTGTTTTATACTGTTTTTCTATTTATTTATTTATTTATTTTCTGTTATGATGTATTTCTGCTGTTTTGTTTTTAATTATGTTGTATTATTTTTGGGCTTGGCCTCATGTTAGCCGCCCCGAGTCCCCTTTGGGGAGATGGTGGCGGGTTATAAATAAAGATGATGATGATGATTATTATTTCCATTCCTCCCTGCCAGGACATTAGCAGGGAGGAATACAAAACTCTAGATCCAAAAAGATGCAGAAGCTTCAAGTGATGATGGGTGAAAATCATCAATAGTTAAGGATAAACATAAAGCAAAAGAAATTCAAGGGAAATATAAAGTAAGAGTGGAAATGTGTTACAACCTGCCTGGACACACATTGTATGGTCACATGAAAATGCACACACAAGAAAAGGATGCAACAACAGTTTAAGCTACAGGTACAGAATCTACTCAAGTTCCAACTAAATTCAGTGATCCCCAGTAAGCATTAAGTAAGCTTTGCAGGAGACTGCCTATCACCAGCACTGGGAGACTGTGTTGCCTCCTCCCTGTG